ACCTCTTTAAGTGTTGTCCAAGGACCACAAGGTGAAGGCAAAGTCTTGAGAGGGAGCCTCATGCACACCCCAGCAGGAGGCCTACAACTTCTGCATCTTGTTTGCTTCCCTTTTTTGCTGCAGGGGGACACATTCAGCTCTTCTCACCCTTTCCCCTTCTCAGTGCAGAGGTCCCTGCTCTGCATTTCCTTCTCCTCAGCGAAGACTAGATGTCCCCACGCTTCATTCTGACCAACATCAAACGACCTGCAGCACTTGCCCTCAAGGTGGCTGATGTTTTACAAAGGAAAGAGGATGCCAAAGGCCCCAGATCGTAGCTGTGTTGGCGTTCCAAAAACATATCCTAAATCCAGCAGCAAAACTAGGCATACACTCTAGTTCTTTGGTGTCATGATTTCTTTTCTTGAAATTTTTTTTCCATTCATTACACAGACACTACATGAAATCGAAATGTTTGTTGGACCAAGTTACTACATCTCTCTAGTACTTTGGTGCTCTACTATACAGAAACAAGAAACCATGCACACAAGTTTCATCTGTTGTACCTGAAAATGACAACTGAACAGGTACCTATCTTGTAGTTAAGGAAATGTACAGAGCAGTTTCATTCTAGGTTCTGAAACTGCACTAGTAAACCTGGGCAGCTTTTGGGTACGTTACCTGCAAAATACTAGAAAAAAAAATCCTAAACATGATATATATATATATATATCCTTTAGTTGATATAAAGATGATAAAATAATCAATAAAAATATAGAAGACAGGCAGAATCTCATAATTATATTCTATATTAGGAAGAAAGTTGGATGGTGTAGACAAAGGAAATATTACCTATTGCCAATGAGATTTAGGAAGATAACTTTGTTCTAACCATTAAATAAAACATCCTAAAAGTTGCATAGCTAGAAACTTGCAATCATAATTTTAAGAGAATGATCTGGCAAGCAGATGGAAACAATGGGCTTTCTTTTCCAAACAACTTTGGAGCTCTGAATGTGCTCCTGAAGACCAGCAAACACTTTTTCCTTCAAAAGTGTTTGAGAATTAAATGGGATCATCCAGGCTGCTGTAGGCCAGTTGACCTAACACTGATTTGGCAGAATGACAGTGTAATTGATACTGGATGCACTCAGATAAGAAAAGAAACGTAATTATTTTTGTTTTGATGTAAAGATCTCATTAGAAGGATTACATGATTCTTTGATGGCAATGTAAGTTTGGTGGCTCAAGATAACCATCTAGGCCTAACACAGCAAGACTTGTAACTGAGCACGACACAGCCAGGTCATTCTGAAAGGAAAAAAGAGAAGCAACAGAGAGGTGGAGTCACAAAGTCAGGACTTTGTGTGGGACACCTAAACCAGCTCAATTGAACGTAGCTGTTTGGAAAGGTGAATACAGTGACTTGATCACAGTCTGTAATTTCTTGCAAAAGAAAAAAAAAGACTTCTTATAGCAGAAGACTGTAATGTACTGAACAAAGGGGTAACAAGATCCTTTGAATTAAACAAAAATGTAGTAAAATAGAATGGCAGTTTTAATGGCAGTGATAACCAACAAAAAAACTCTAATAAGTGACATGGTTGATTAACCATGAGGTTTTAAATTATGAAAGTCCTACATCTTTCTTGAAGATTTAACTGAATTATAGACCAGCAGTACTATCATTAGTCACAGCTGAGATTCAGTTACTGTTTGTGGGTGACTATTCTAAATCACTTCCAGCCTACATGATGTTCCCTTTTAAAGCAAAAATAATTTGCAAAATCCAGCTAAAACCAGACAACCCATTCAGTAAAGGACAAGAAGAAAAAATGCTCCCACCTTCCAGCAAAGAAACAAGATGCAAACTAGTAAAGAACTTCAAAGTCATTGTCAAGTCTTCTTGGGTACAGACACAGAAACAAATGGAACAAATGCAGCGTCAAAGAATGCAGGGAGCTGAAGAGTAAGGACTATGGGATCTTGTTAGAGAATCTTCTGCTGTTTAAGTGGGAGTTAAGTAATTGAACCGTTGTTGTTGGCTTGAGTACACAGAGCTGAAAAGCTGCAGACTGTGGGACCTGAGGCTTCATCTCAACAGGGAAGAATTTTGTACATACGTTACATTCTGCATCCCACAGGTACCAACTCTACTTTTTAAACCATCTGAATATGTTGAGGAGCCTCAGGAATCCAAAAAGGAAGACCTGATCCAAACTCAAGTAAGTGACAGAGAAAACGAGTGTAAGGTATCTTCAATTATTTCTACACCAGCAAGAGGACTCTGGGTACAGAGATAAGGAAGAAATTCTCACTGATGAGGGGAAAAAAAGATACCTGGAATAAAGTGACATTTCTGAAACTTCATGGGCAAGTCCCTTAGTAGAAGAATCATTAATTTCTTCCTGGGCAACAGTAAGAGCTATAGGAGCAGGAGCAAACTGCACAAACACAAGATATAGTATCTTTGAAGTAACTGAGAGCACAGAAATTGAACAGCCTTAAGCACAGATGGAACCCCATGTAACAGATTCCAGGATAGCAGAGAAAACAACATGAGAAAACAACACAACAAACCAGGGATGAGGAGAGATGATTTCAAGCACCCTGAACATATAAAATGAAAAACCACTGCCATGAATTTTAACTCCTATGAGACATTCCCCAGGGAATTCTTAGTCAGGAAATCATCTTTCCAACTTTTAAAACTGCAGTTTTCTCAATACAAGACACTGCACACTGAACAATTCAGTTTTTCAGACCTCAAGGTGATGCATACAAGACAATAACTTGAGTGAAACTGGAAATTCCATCCTGTTCATATGGAATATGGACATGCAGAGGAGGGCCACGAGCAGTAATACACCTGTGCTGAATCAGAACTGATTTCCAAGGTGAGCAAAACTGTAAACTGAGTTGTCCAAGAGAAGAAAGAAATAAGGCAGAAAATGTGAATGAAACTCTGATGTAAGAAAAAAATTACTGTGGCCAAAAAAATCCCCATATTCCACAATCAAGAAAGAGGAAAACTTTTGGTAAAAGCTCATCCTGGGCTCAGTGGGAAAGTCTGTGGACAAGGAGAAACAATTTAAAAAATAAAGAAAAAGGGAAGGCCAGACTGCAAGTGACATAAGTTAGACATTATAACATAAAGGAAACTGGTAAGAAAAGCTTTGTGGTTAGCAAAACTACTGGTAACAGGAAGGGATTTGGGATATTTTATTCCTTTCTTTAAATAAAAAATAAACAAAGAAATCTTGCTAATAGTACTGATGCTGATAAAAATGGCAAAAATGCTAGTGATACAGAACAGGGGAAATCAGTCAACAAACAATTCCATATTCAGAAAGAAACAGGATGTGGCATTTATATGAAATTAGCAACTTCTATCCAGTACCTTAGTATCAAAGTAGATGAGACAATGTCTAGTGGGGTTGTAATTTTTAAGGCAGTAAAGAAACAGGGGTCCTAAAAGAATTGACTAACAAGCTCTCTAGCCCATTGATGCAGATTTTAATTAAACTTGGGATATTAGAGAAATACCTTCAGACATTCATGACAGTATTTCCAAAAGGCAAATGAAATGACTCCATGTCAAAACCCTGGAAAAGCTGTTGAGCTGAAGAATTAATGAATGAAAACGAAAACCTATAATCCAAAGGTTTTATGAAATATAGATTTTGTAAGAAAAAAATTGAAAAAACACCTTCATTTCATTCTTAGATGACATCATCACACATTTGGTTTAACAAAGGGGACTGCATAGGTGCAACATACTTAATATTTTGTAAGGCATTGACCTAGCACCATAAGTCAAAACGATTTACTGTACATAATCACACACTAAGTGGATTAAGAAATGCCTAGCTTGCAAGTCTCAAAAAAGGAGCTCACAAAAAGTTGCACTGAAAGATGCTTTTCAAGTTAGTGTAGGTCAGATGCAAGAGAGCATTTTCAACTTGGCTTTGAAAGTAAAAAAAACAAACCACAACAACAAAACCAAAACTGATAAAGTTTGCAGGTGACAAAACTGGGAAAGTGTTGAGGAACCTGGACCATCATAACCCAGGTCCACCCACACCAAATGGACTTTGATACAGCCTCATGTCAAGTATCTAGAAAATCAGAACGCAAACAATACAACAAAAAAAATAATGGGGGAACACTTATCATGGAAAGCTGAGATTTCAGATGATCACCAGAGATCTCTGGCCACACCAGAGAAGCAGCTCAGGTGAGCTGCCACATGCTGCGAGAAGAGGGCAAACACAATCCTCTGCAGACTTAAGGCAAAGAACAGGGGGACCTTGTCTGTGGCACCGGGGCTTCAACACTCCAATCTGAAATGAACACTTCTGTAAGATGCTGAAAAATTTGACAAGATGTGGAAAGAAAGGACAAGAGTAGTTCATGGGCTGGAGGAAATCCTTTACAGTGGAAGATTTCACGAGTTCCATCTATTTAGCTTGTCAAAAAAGTGGATTTAGAAGTGCTATTGCAGTTTAAATACCAGTTCAGGGAAAAAAAACCCCACTGTGCTCAAAGGTCCTCTGAATCAGTGGGATAGATGTATACATAACTAGTACCTGGAAGCCAAGGCCAAACATATCTAAAGGAGAAACTGGGCTTAAATATTTAAACAGTGAGAACATGAAGTCCTTGCAGCAGGCTACCAATGGAAGGGATCTCTCTGTCCCAGTGCCTCAAAATCAAGCCAATGCATTCTGTCAACACATACTTCAAGTACACATTAGTTCTTGGGGCTCAATACAGGATAAACGGGTTGAAATGTCACCTGTGAAATGCAAGAAGCAGATCAGACAGCTTCTTCCAGCCTAGCCTACAGAGCTAGAAAACACTCCAACTGGTTGCAGCCAATCCTGGTGACTAAATGCAGAGAAAAAGGTTTCTGCCACAGGCATCTCAGGTGCAGAGCTTTCCTTGTGTCAACTGCAAGGCTGCCCAAAGGCACAGATGCTGCTGTCCTTGTGTCCACCCATATGGCCACCCGGGACACACAGCAGCAAGATGCTTGTGCTCTGGTGCAGGGGGAAGGAACACACGTCACAGGGGCAGGCTGCTCACAGCTGCACCTTCAAGGAGCCTTTTACACCAATTTATTTCTATACAAGGTGTTTGTTTGTTTGTTTTAAAAAAAAGCCCCTACTGGTTGTTCATACAGAAGTCTGGGATTCTATAAGCTTTGGGTGGGTGATTGAATTTAAATCCCAACAATATATGCTTTTTCCCTCGCCTTCTCATTCTCTTCTGAGTCAGCCTCCATGATCCAAAGAAACTAACAAGTGACACACAAGACTAGTAGTCATGTGGACCAATAAAATAACCAAAACAAAACAGGGGGAAGGAGAATTGAAGACGAAGAGAAAGGGAAAAAACAAACGAAGATTGAAAATAAAAATTCGCCAGGATAATGCGTTTTATAAACACAGAGATAGAAACAGTTACAGCAAGGACAGAGCGGGCCAGGGGTGGGGAATAGATATTTATATATATATATATATATAAATTCAAGGGGCCTTCAGTTTATCCTTGTTGGCTCCCCCTTCTCATTAGATTGGTCTCTCTGTGGGGATCTTCATCCCCTTCTCTCCACTGTCCACCTTTTGGGGATTCTCTCCCATGACCAGGGTCCAGAAGAGGCCACCACTGCCATGTGAGTCCAGCCCGTCTTGGCAAGAGGGAGCCCAGGAGAGCACTCTGACAGGAGGCAAGCAGGAGAAGCTAGCCTTTCCCTGCCTCTTGCCAGCTCCTTGATAAGACTGGTCTATTCCTCCTCCTCCTTCCCTTTGGGAAACTGGGGGCAGGACAAGTGTGTGGGAGTCAGAACTGCTGTTGTTCCGCCTTTCGGGAAAGGGAGTAGAGAGAAGGGTGATGATTATTTTGGCAGTCTCTTACCCTCCCTCCAGTTGCTTTTTGGTTTGTTGTTGATGCCTGCAGGCTTTTCTGAGGAGGTGAGGGGAAGCAGTAGGGAGAGGAGGAATACAAGCTGCTAGGGCATCATCCACAACAGGCAGGAAGGGCAATGAGCAGGAACCCACACTCCTACAGGGCCTTGGCCATCATGCTGCTCAGACAGCTGGGAGAGAGAGGCAGCAGCCAGCTCAAACAGACTCCCCTCTATTGCTCTCCACCAGGGGAGGAGAAAGAGTGCGATATTCCAGAGCCCTCAGGCAGTGTAGGCACCTGCCTTGCCCAGAGAACATTCCTCACCTCTCCCTCCCCGGCACTGGTCTCACCTTCCACTGGGGAGGAGGTTTCTCCCATGCAGTCCTTGGAGCAGGACGAGTGACCCTTCCTCCCTTTCACAAGTGGGAGGGACAGGAATGGATATTTCTCTCTTAGACACTCAAGGAAATCCTCAAATAACACCATCCAGCTGTGAACCCTGCCACATTCTTCTGTAGTCTGCTGAAAACATGTGTCCGAGCCCCTGTACAGACAAGGACCGTTTCTCCATCCCATCCACCATGCACGTCTCAACACGCACCCCCCCCTTCAGACACATCCTACAGGGAGAGAGAAGGCAAAACCGGGGCCTTTCTTTGGGTTTGAAAGGAGGGGCTCTTGCATGAGGGAGTGATCCCAGCACAGGAAAGGGGCTCTTGCACGAGGAAGCATCCTCCTACCAGGCAGGCTGTTGCACAGAAGGAGCACCCCCTTGAGCCAGGCTGTTGTTCAAGGGGCTGCCATGAACAGGGTTACACGGCCAGAAGAGGCTGTTGCAGGAGGAGAGGCCGGAGACTGTTGCACGAGGAGGGCCGCTGCACAAGCGGTGCCCCTGGGCGCAGGCTATGCACAAGAGGCTTTCTGCTCCCTGGGTTGAGGTCTCTCTAGGAGCTGGAGAGGTGCTCCACTTGGATGGCGCTGGTGCTGACAGTGAGGCAGATGTCCTTGTGATGCTCTGAAGTCTTGTAAGGAGTCAGGTCAAAGGAGCACTGGGGGGGAGGGTTGGGTGGGTTAGTGTCTCCAGAAGGGCCCCCTGCTGCCCCTCCACCCTGCGGCTGGAAGTGCTGCTGCTGCTGAGAGGCCTGGGCTTGCGCCTGAACCACCTGCTGCTGTGGGTCAGGGATGTTGTGTTTCCGCATGTGCTTCATCAGGTACGTCTCCTGCAACAGGAAGAGCCGTGTGAGAGAAGGGGACGACGGCGGCAAAAGCCACAGCCCTTGGGGAGGGACGTGGCAGCTCAGGGGAACTGTTTCTGTTGGACCTAAAGGAGCTACTCCCTGGGAAGTGTGTCCACTCCTGTACCTCCCAGGGCAGCACGCACTCACCGAGGTGTAGGCCCGGCTGCAGATGGAGCAGGTGTAGACCTTGGCGTGTTTCACTGTGTGGGTCGCCAGGTGTACCTCCAGGGAGGCAGCATCCGTGTACGCACGGTGGCAGTTGTGGCACTTGAAAGGTTTGTCTTTGTTGTGCTGCCGTCTGTGGGACTGAGGGACAGCAGGCGGGGTGGAAGAGGGAGAAAGCAAGCACAGGGAAGGAAGCAGGTATTAGTACTGGAGACGGCTTTCCCTCTGACACCCCTTTCCAGCCAGGCCCCAAGCTGCCTAGGCCCCCGTCTGCTGAGGGAAGGACGCCTGGCTCCTACCACGGGACAGAGCTTCTCCCTCCAGCCCACTGCATCTTCCCCACAGATGCCCTTCTTTCTCAGGCATACTAGGCATTTGAGGAGCAGAGACTGCTAACTCTTCACAATCCCCCCATCTTCTCAGTCTCCACCCAAGTCCTTATCAGTCTTTTGGTTTTCCTTTTCTCTCCTCTTCTGCCTCACTACACAGTTGTTCCCTGCATCTGTCACTGCCCTTCAGGGCAGGGTCTGTTTTAACTGCTCCAAGGTATTTACAGCTCTCTGCCATTTGGCATGCCCTAGAGTTCGCTTCCTCTAGGGTACTGCAACAGGACACACCACCTCTGCTTCGCTCAATCCCTACTCTTTATGTCCTCCATTTCACTGTAAAACAAACAAAAAAGCTCCCATCAGGTGCTCAGGTTTTATTCCTTGTGACATTTAGCAAAAGTCTTGCCCCAGCTAAGTCAGAAAACTGCAGAACAGATGGGCGGAACTTACCAAGGTCTCACTGCTTTCAAGTTTACAACTTGATAGGATGCAACTGTTTACTTGACTTCTTTGGGTCACCAGTTCCACAAAAGCCAGGGATCTCTCTCCCACCCAGCGCTTCCACAACTTCCTCTATTCTTTCACTCTCCTCCCAGCTGTCCCAATTTCTCCTTCTCCTCCACCACAGGCAAGTAGCCTCTAAGACCACTTGAGAGCTGCCCATTCCACCTCCACTGGAGAGTACGACAAGCCCAAGCCCCTTACCTGCAGGTTGGAAAGCTGGGTGAAAGCCTTTTCACACCCAGGGTGAGCACATTTATAGGGTCGGTCCCCAGTATGGATACTGTTGAGGAGGAAGAGCACAAATGGGAGGCAGTGAGCAGGCAGGCAAGGCAGACTGCCAGGGCCCAATGCCGTGATCAAATCTCACAGCCACTAAGGAGAGCAAGGAAAGGGATGATGTTGCCTCCAGATGCTGTTCTATCTGGACAAAGGGAGCTCTGCCCAGCTCCTGTGTCCAGCTAGAAGTTAGAGAAGACAGGCAGTCAAGCAGATTTCATAGGGTGACTAGGACTCAGGAGCAAGAGCTTATGAATGCCTGGCAGCTTGGCATGTGGGCCACCTGAACACAGGTTGGGAAGGGGTCTGGAGGTCCAGGCTCCCTGCTCCAAGCTCAGGAGTCCCACACGGCCAAGAGGAGTCTGTTCTCCTCCTCCTGTGGCACCAAGGAAACAGCTCTGTTCCTTCTCAGGAAAGACACTCTAGCACTTTTCTCTGTCAAGCCGAGATCACCTACAGCACCCATGTGCCCGTGCCCCCCTGCAATGTCAGGAGAAGCTTCCACACACTCAGCCCAACCCCCGTGGGGCCAGGCTGGGATCCCCTACAGCCAATGCCTCTCTCTCTCTCTCTCGCTCTGTCTCTCTGTGCCCCCCACGGTGCCAGCCCAAGGGTCCCCAGGGACAGCACGTGCCCACCTCAGCCCTGCCGCGGTCAAGTGCCTCCTGCGCAGCCTCCGCTCCGTCCAC